CAAATTGTAGGGGATTGAGGCAGACTGGGAACTGGAGTTGATGTGGGCCATGACCAGCCTCTCGAAGCACTTCATGATTATTGAAGTTAGAGCCACTGGGCAGTAATCGTTAGGGCACATTTTTCTTAGATATGAGGATGATGGTCTTCTTGAAGCAGGTGGGGATTTTGGCTTGTAGGAAGGAGAGGTTGAGGATGTCAGTGAACACCTCCCCCAGTTGGCCAGCGCAGGATCTGAGTGTTCGGCTGTGGGTACTGTCCAAGGCTATCACTTTCCTTGGTTTGACTTCCAGGCAGGAGCACTGATCTGATGTCTGCAGTGGTGACCAAGGGAACAGGTTTGTTCAAGGCTGTCGGGGCGGACATCACCTGGAGTTCTGCTTAAATAAAGCATAGAAAAGCATTGAGCATGTCAGGGAGGAACGTGTCTTTGTCCACTAACTTGCTCTGCTTCGTTTTGTATCCCGTAATGTTGTTTAAGCCTCGCCATAGGAGGTGGGAGTCAGTTTTGTTCTTTGCCTCGTTTGAGTTTGGCATTGAGAGTAAACCAGAGATTATTACTTTTAAGATTCAATTTTTTAATCTTCTACCTAACCTCTTAAATTCACTCTGTACTGCTTTAATCTTTTCCCTAAAAATTCCTACCAATATGTACAATAATTTGTGACTTCTCAGTATCACCTTTAACATTATGCTTGAAACATTTAGAGACGTCCTCAATCCTAGCACCAGGAAATTATCAAACCATCCTGAATGTGCGCTCAGTGCCAAGGAATCTCCTGTCTATGCCCCTGACAGGAGAGGTCCCTATAAACAATAATTCTATTGAATTTTGTCAAATGCTGCCTAACATAAGAATCATTCCAAGTGTCCAATAACTGACTGCCCCTTCCATTTTCCTTGTAGAGACTATTTCCATCAACAGTTTCAAAAACTGAATATCTATTTGATCGAGGAATAGCCTCGAGACTTTTGAACTATCATCCAATCTTTCCCGACAGTCACCCATCCATCTGACTGATCCTGCTGTGTAGTAACTTTTCTGAATCTACTAACCATCTCACTCTGCCTCATATATGCCCTTAATAAGATTAAGCCTAAAAAAAACTTTCAATAACCTGTTATACAAAACAAACTACCTTTCATTACCTACAGAAAATAATGTTAAAATGGCAAAGATTTTTAAAGATCTAACATATAAAACTTAAATAAAATTAACCACTTAAAGACTCTTCAATAATTTCCTCAAAGAAAAGAACAAATCTTCTCCGGAGCTGACCACATGTAGGACTCCCTGAAACGAGAAAACAACTCCTTATTTTAAAAACAAGAGTTGTTCGGCTTCTCAAAGCAAAACTTCTGCAATGTTGAAAAAGAAACAGTCCAGTATAATCTTTTATAACTTAAGAATTTAGAATGGAGAAAAAGAATCCTCAGCCGTTCACTATAGACCGTCAAAGCTTGTTTAAAAATGCCCATTTGGGGGGAAAAACGTTCGTGATTTCTTTGTTTTTTTCAATGTTAATGAAACAAAATGAATAAAAGTCTTACATTAGTGAAATATAGTAACCAATAAAACTATAATAAATCTTTAAGCCTGCAATCCCAGGAGCAGCTGCAAGATCTACACTGTTTCCCAGTGCTCCCTAGTAACAGGAAGCCACTGTCTTGCTTAACAAAATAAATAGCTGTGAACAACACGTCAGCAATAACCAAGCTGAAGAAAAGCGCACATAAAAGTGCAATCAATAGTAAGACCAAGGGAACTGGGAAGAGATTTTAAAAAAAAAAGAAAAGAAAGATCGTAAGAGATATTTTTTAAGAAAATGAAAATTGATAGTTGTTGAGGTTTTGACTTACTAAGAGCAAATGTCGTCATGGATGAAGTGGGCTCTTTAAAAGTAGATGCAGGTAATATGACAAATGGAAAATAAGAACAGCAAACTGAATCAATAATTACTTTGTATCTGTGTTCAGAGAAGATGATGACATTGGTCCGGATCTTCTGATAACCTGATTAGACTGAGACCGGCCATACCCTGAAAGATGCAAATCGCTGTCTCAAGTCCCAATGCACAGACTCTGCAATAATTGCCCAGGGACTTTAAATTTCTGGTCAATTAGCAGGTATCTGAAGCCCTCAAATATTTCCCCAATTTGACCAAGCTTTCGAGGGATCTGACTCAGCGATATATTTAACAATATTAAGTATTAATAATAAGCCAGGAGAAGTACAGGGCTAAATATAAAACAGATCTCCCTATCACTCATGCATTCACCCCAGTATCCTCCCAGTTCTGTCACTGACCTCCCCGCGTTCCCCCCACATACCTATTCCACATACCCACTACTCATATGTACCTTAGACACTTAGTAGCTTTCAGTGGTTTGAGACCTTTAAATGTTTTACTTGCAATTGCTATAAAAGGGTCCTGGGCAAGTACATCCCCTAACACTTATTCAGATTTTAAATAGTGAGAAGCTTGGAATAGTGCAGATTTAAATAAATTTTGAGGTTCAGTGTACAGAGATGAAAGAAATATAACAAATGGGTACAAGTAAATGTCTAATCATAGAATCCCTACAGTGTGGAAAGAAGCCATTCGACCCATCAAGTCCACACTGTCCTTTCAAAGAGCATTCCACGTGTATTTCCATCTTGTTATTCTGTACATGATTCTAACTTGCACTTCCTGATTCTCACTTGATTTACAGCCTAATTAAGGAGATGCCTGTAGAGGGCACTGTGCTGAAATGAATTTCTTTTGGAAAGTCTGTACAAAAGTAAGCATAATGAGTAGTTGACATCATTCATTCGTGGCTGACCACAAATTTCGGGCCACCTTTCCATATATAAGACAGGTTTCATCAAAAAAATTGAATATGATTTAAATCAAGCATACCCAAAATAACCATAATTAAAATAGATATGATTAAAAATCATGCATACAAAGCCTCCAGACCAAAGTAAAGAAATATTAAGAACGTTTAGAAAATGTGTAGAAGCAAGTGTAAAAATGAATAATGAGTGGAAATGGGTGTTAAGAGAAGTATGCCATCAAGCACTCAAGAAATTTCTTCAGTACAGTATGTGTTGAGATCCTCTAATTGCCTTTTCTTTGTACTAAGCAAGATAACGATAAGGTCTTGGAGTAGATTTGTAGCTCGGGTTGCGAGTGTTGAGGTTGGTTGGCTCGCCAAGCTGCTTTCTTGTTTCGCAGACGTTTCTGCAGAGACTGAGAAACGCTACATCGGACAAGCAAGAAGGAAACTAACAACAAGAGTACTTGAACACCAACTGGCTACAAAAAGACACGACCAGTACTCCCTCATCTCAATCCACATGGACAAGGAGAACCACCAGTTCGACTGGGACAACACCAAAATTCTGGGACAAGCTAGGCAGAGACAGGCACGAGAATTCCGAGAAGCCTGGCACTCCATGAAGCATGCTATTAATAAACTTATTGAACTCGACCCCGTATACATTCCACTTCAAAGGAAAACCAGAAGTGAGGCAATCCATCTCAATGGACCCCCGAGTTTAAAATCCAGGTGGGAGAACACACCGACGCTTCATCGGAGGCTGCATGGAGTATGTTACCCAGCATGGTAATGAAACATCTGCGAAACAAGAAAGCAGCTCGGCGAGCCAACCAACCTCAAGATAACTATCTTTCACCTAGTAACATTTATTTACACCCCCTGTCCCAAGGGTTGCTCAATGGCAACACACGCTTCTACCCATCAATCAGGAAAGGCCTATTGCATGGTTTTCACTGGTTACCCAGGACAGTTCAGCGGTTGTTGACTAGGAGTTCAGAAGTTACAGACTAAGACTGATAAGCTTGTGAAGGTGATAGAGTAGATTTCATGCTAGAAGGCTGGGGCTGTTTTCCCTGGTATGTCAGAGGCTTCGAGGTGACGTCATAGTGTACAGAATCATGAGGGGCATGGATAAGATGAATAGTCAAGGTCATTTCCCCCGGGCTGGGGCATCCAAAACTAGAGGGCCTAGGTTGAAGGTGAAAGGGGAAAGATTTTAAAGGGCCTTGGGGGCAACTTTTTTTATGCAGAGGGTGGTGCATGTATGGAATGAACTGCCAGAGGAAGTGGTGGATGCTGGTATAATTACAATATTTAAAAGGCATCTGGATGGGTATATGAATTGGAAGGGTTTAGAGGGATATGGGCCAAATGCTGGCATATGGGACCAGGTTAATTTAGGATATCTGGTCGGCATGGGCGCATTGGACAGAAGGGTCTGTTTCTGTGCTGTACATCTCAATGACTAAGTGCTGAATTTTTGCTATATGCAGGGAAGGCACCTGCACCTGAATCGGCCCTGTGTCGGGGTAAGGGTGAGTCGCCATAGTCTTACAAGACTATAAGATTGCTTTCTCGTTAAAGAGAGAGAGACGACTGGTGGTGGTCTAATCTGAGGGTCACCATGCCTCAGGCTCGTGGAGAGATAGAGATTGAGAATGAGAATCCTTTATGGTAACTTTGGCCAGTGTGGGAAATGAACCCATTCTGTAGGCATTACGCTGCAATGCAAGCCAGCCATCCAGCCAATTGGGTGAATGAATTCCCCCCACTCCCCCAAAGTGAGTAGTAAAGATCAACATCCTTTTATTTCCTTATGTTTTTGTACTGTGGTTTTTTTTATTAAAAGGAAGATACTACTTTAAACCAAAGGAGACTATATGCAAAGATGTGGCTGCAGTTTTAAAATTCATGTTTACAACTCTCAATGACGCATTTTTCCTGGAAGAATGAAAGCAGAGGCTTGCACCAAAGAGTTGACGGTTCCTAAACTAAAGGACAACTGCTTGACAGTGTTTTGATTGGCCCCTGACCAGTTGACCCTAGCTTGTGTGGGGTCAGTGTAGCAGAGAACTGCTGGTCTGCAAAAGAAAATATTTCTCGTGTGGAGGCAGGAGATCTTCAGTTGTTTTCATCTCTTTTCAATTCTTTGTTTTGCACATCCCCAATCGAAAGAAAAACAAAACGCCTTCAAAGACGAATGAAGGACAAATCCTCAACTAGTGAATGATAGAGAGCATTGGTTTGAAAACAACCTTGCGTCAACGGCGAAGAACTGAAAAGAATTGAAGGGAAGAGAAAAGAAAACAACTCATTGAATCCTGTGGCCCAGGCTGGTGATACCAAATTTTGCCTGATTTTGTTTTTTCCTCCCCCCTCAATATTTCCACTCAGTATGTATGTACTGTCTATCTTTGTGTGCCTCTTTTGTATGTGAGGGGGTGGGAAGAATTTAAATTAACAGTTCACATTTCTCAGTTGCCTTTGGTTGAAGATGAAATTTCTTTGTCATAAACAGTTACTTTAAGTACAGAAACCTGGTGAGTATTTTCTTTTAAACTAGGTTTGTCAGCCAGGAATATTGGGGACTTTGGATAGTTTGAGAGAGTCTTTTCACATTTTGTGAGCACTTTGGCAAAAGTGGGTCTTGATATCCAGTGCACTACCCCAGTAAGTCATGACAGTTAATTCCTCGCAGTTGGATATCTCTGCTGTAAGAATTTGGGTCAAGATATAAGCATTACAATCAGGATTTAGGAAAGTCTTTTGGAAAAGAATGTGATGGCTCATGGGAGGCCAGATGTTGCTATTAGTTCAGTACATCTGAGAATGGGATATAAAAAGCCTCAAGAAAGGACTCCGTTTGGTGAAGCTAACATGAACAAAAAGCTGGAGTTGTGATTGTGTTCTGGAGTCCAGGGGAAAGTGGACACAGGACAGAAGGGTGTTTCACTTGGACAGGAGCATTTGTTAAGGCGGTCTGTGACAGAGCGGCTCTCGAGAGACGAGGTTGGCAGAATTGAAAAACAGTCATCCCTTGTGAAGTTTGAGACTTGATAACTCATCAGGGTATCAGCATCTCAGGGTGGCTGTGTTACTGAGAGGATCATGGGATTTGTCTTGATCATACTTGCTATGTCCTGTGGGACGTTTGAGCGCAGTACATTGCCCACGTTTACCACATGTTAATTTGGAGTCCTAGTAAAAGCTCTCGCATGTTTTCTAAGATTACAGAGAAATCTTGATTAAATGGGTCATTGGGCTAAAAAAATGGCAGATGGAGTTCAATCTGGATAAATGCAAGCTATTGCATTTTGGTAAAACAAACAAGGGGTAGGCCTTATACAATTAATGGTAGGGTATTGGGTAGTGTTGTAGGACACAGTGACCTAGGGGTGCGGGTACCTTATTCTTTGAAGTTTGCATCACATAGACCGGGTGGTTAAAAAGGCGTTTGGCATGTTTGCCTTCATTGCTCAGTCCTTTGAGTAAAAGGGTTGGGAAGTCATGTTGAAGTTGTATAGGACATTGGTGAAACCTGTTCTGGAATAGTGTGTCCAGTTCTGGTCACTCAGTTAGAGGAAGGATATTATCAAGCTGGAGAGAGTTCAGAAAAGGTTTACCAGGATGTTGCCGGGTATGGAAGGTTTGAGTTATAAAGAAAGGCTGAATAGGTTCAGACTTTTTTCATAGGAACGTAAGAGTTTGAGAGGCGACCTGATAAAAGTTTATAAAACAATGAGAAGTATAGACAGAGTTAATGGTGGTTGTCTTTGCCCTAGCTTGGGAGATTTCAAGACTGGTGGCACATTTTTGAGGTGAGAGGGGAGGGATTTAAAAAAGACAGGCAAACTTGTTTTACACAGATGGTGATTCTTGTGTGGAATGAACTTCCTGAGGAAGTGGTGGATTTGGGGACAATTACAACATTTAAAAGACATTCTGATAAGTACGCGAATAGGAAAGGTTTGGAGGGATATAGGCAAGGAGCAGGCAGGTGGGACTAGTTTATTTTGGATTATGTTTGGCATGGACTGGTTGGACCAAAAGGCCTGTTTCTGTGCTGTACGACTCTGACTCTATGTATCTAAGTTTGTGTGTTCATTAATAAGCAACAAAATGACACCCCATCTCAGTTTGTTTGTTTGAATTGTATATGTGTTTTTAAGCAGGAGGTGATGGATAGTGACACGATACAGCAATCTTAACTGATCTTTTTGTTCTTTTTGAGCTAATTAAGGCCACTTGTGTCATTACTGCTGCTCCAACATGTGCAGCAAATAAGGTAGGCAAATAATAAACATTTCATCATTTTTGATAGATATCCAAATTACTTTCGCTTCCCACAACCTTGAATCTCACCAGGCCAAAGGAACAGGAATAAGCTACTCAGACCCTTAAACCTGTTCTGCTGTTCAGTGACATCATGCCAGGTGTGTCGTCTAACTCCATATACCTGCCCATATCTCGGATTTAAAATTAGCAACTAATCTAGCATCACTGTTGCTTGTGGAAGAGAGTTGTAAACTGCTACTACCTTTGTGTTTAGAATTGGTTCCTAACATCTCCTGAATGGTCTAGCCCTAATTCTCAGGTCATGCAGCCGTTTCTAGAATCTCCAATCAGTGGAAATTGTTTATCTTTATTTATCCTGCCTTTTGTAGTTAATACCTTTTGAAGATTTCAGTCATATCACCCCTTTTATCCTTTTAAATTCTAGAGAAAGCAGGCTTAATTTCTACAATGTATCCTCATTTTAACCCCTGAAGTCCAGGTATCATTCCTGTATACCTACATTACACTCCTCCATGGCCAAAATAGCCTTCCTAAGGCTGGTGCCCAGATCTGCGCTCAGTACTCCCAAGTGGAGGCTAACCAGGGTTTTGGAAGCTTGCAGAATGACTTATGCATACTTTTACTCCAGTCCTCCCAATTATAAAGGCCGTCATTCCATCAGCCTTGATTATTTTCTGCACCCTTTCATGGTATTTTAACGAACTATGCACTGAAACCCCTAAGTCTCTTTTGGACATCCACTGAATTTAGCCTCATACCATCTTGAAAGTAGCTGATCTATCCTTTTTCGGTCCCAAGTACCTAAATCTCCTCTTGCTAAGATTGAAATCCATGTGCTACAGTTATTGCCTATTCACCTGTCAATATTCCTTTGTGATTTTATGCTATCATCGTCCACAATGCCATCCAGCTTTGTGCCATAAGTACATTTAGATACAATTTTCTATGCTATTGTCCAGGTTTTTAATAAATAATGTGACTAATTTGTCTTTATTAAATGCTCATATTGTAAAGACCCTTTTTTTCTTTATTTTGGATAGTGGACTAAAATGGGAAAAAGATACTGCTTTAAACCAAGAACTGTGGAAGGAGATGTTGCAGTTTTAAACAAGTTGCCTTGAGAGATCAGTAAGCTCAGTTGGCTGGAGATGACCAATTTGTAGTGCAAATTGATGCCAACAGCATGGCTTCAATTTCTGCTCTGGCTGA